CCCGTTGTGACGAAAGCAGAGCTCGGTCTGAAAACTAAGCTCTCAATATTCAAGTCGATCTTCATCCCCACGCTTATCTACGGTCATGAATCGTGGACCATCACTGAAAAACTTCGAACCCGGATACAAGCTGCTGAGATGGGTTTTCTTAGACGAGTCGCTGGCCTTACGCGTCTTGACATGGTCCGGAATAGTGACATCCGGAATAGCCTTGGTATACAGCCTTTGCTTCTCCAGATTGTGAAGTCACATCTGCGATGGTTTGGGATTGTGTTGCGAATGCCTCCAGAAAGGAAGGCTAAGCAACTGGTTCTTGTAAAGGCGACCGACAGAAGGCCCAGGAGACGGAAGGGACAAAATTAGCCTGTGCAGATATATTGAAGGAGTCTCTTCCAGATTCTTTTGTCTTTTGCCGAAGTTCAGAGTCTGGCATAGGATCGGGAACGTTGGAAGCTCTGTCTGACGCCTCTGCATCCGCGACCCGAAAGGAGAAGGGGCGATGGAAGAAGAAGAAGATATTTGGAGTGAAGTGGAATGAAATCTTTTCAATGCCATTGCAACAGAGATCAGAAAATCCAACTAGAATGAACCGACCCTGTAAACGTTTGGGATCATTGCTGAAGAATGGAGGACAGCCGACTTGCAAAGCGAGTACTGAACACAAAGCCTGGTAGCAGGCAGCCGCCAGGAAGACTTCCAACAACATTGGAAGGTCTCGTTAGAACTGGTCTAGAATCGAAAGGACTGAATAGTGCGCGTACTCTTGTTCGATCCAGATGGTATTCTTCGCGGCACCCTGCACCGTCTTTGATGCAAATGGAATGAAGAATAACTCATGGAGCTGTCAATTTTAAAGAAAACTCTGTAACCGCCCGATGTGCCTAGTGCGCAGGTCATAACAGGTCCTCTGAACGGAAGATCTAGACATTTTGCTGAAACGTATAAAGCCCTTGTTCAACGGAGAGCGAACCTGTCAAGAAAAATTAGGCTATTTTAAACGGAACTTAACAACTGGTCTCTTCTCGGATGTCGGAAAAATCATATGCAGAAACTGACAACAAAAACCGATACTGTTTGTTTAGCAAGTCAATAAGTATTTTTTAAGACGTGTTGAATGCTACCGTAATGAAAGTAATAAAATACAGTGCGCCAATCATATGTAATCTTATCCTCAGGTATTCGTCCTAATTCATTCAAACAAAATTTCTAGTCATAATGATGGCCAAAAGATTTGTTAACCATGTTTGTGAAACATAATGACAAAGGATCCTGTAATTTATCTGCTTTTACGAATTAAACGTGTTCAGATAACCATTTAAACCATATTTCTGATACCCTGTATGTTCATTAAACTATAATGCGCTTAAGCAGATGACCCTTGAATAAGGATATGATTGAGTGAATTATGAAATAATGGCGGTTTGAGATGTTATGATCACAAATGGCATAAAGACGGTGAGATTAGCACAACACAAAAATTAAATCTACATAAAGGCAAAACAGTACTTATATCTTTCCTGTACGATTCCGTACATTCCTTTTGAATCGTTTTAGAGCTGAGAGACGGCTCAAAAAAAGATTTGTTATGCATGGAAAAATGCAGAGTTTTTAGGTACGTTCTTCTACAGCAAACGGCGCATATCGCCGTTTCAATCCGACATTCTTTTAATGTGACGTATTCATCGGCGGTATCGAAATCTCTCTCAGAACATCGGGGTCCTCTTTTGTAACTCGTTCGCCTACGGGTCGTGACAATGTTCCTTGGCTGAATATACTTTTGTTCACCCCAAATTTGAGACGCGGTCCTGCGTCCTATGCACTGCAGGCGATAAAATACCATGCAGTCAGGAACTGCTCAAATGGTCCCCGTAGGCGTCTAGAAACAAGGGGCGGTGCAATGAGCGGCTGGTGTAAAGTGAGAAATAGATTTTTCTTTCTTTTCACCGTGCCTTTTCGCTGTTTCAATCCGGTATCATTATTTTTTAAAGTAACATATTCAACGGCGGTATCGAAAGCTGCCCCAGGACATCGGGGCTATGTTTTGTCAAACGTTTCTTCGTCACCTTCTTTCAAATGAATGCATATGCTTAGAGTCCTTAAGTGAGTCATGGTTGTTCCTGCCGCTTTGCTGTGCTTCGCTGAATTTCTTCACCTTCATCTTCAGAATACTAAGCCGAAACCGCATTTTGTTCATGCCGGTCTTTGGTCATAACTAGGCTGCGTTTCAATTAAACAGTCAGACGTCAATTGTTCCTACCTGTTGTAGGTTAACAAAACGAAATGGATAATTACTTCACATCAGACCATCGGCTGACATGGTAAAAGCCTCAATCGCGTGTCGGGTTCGATCTCAGGTTCCAACTCACGCCACAACCTTCTAACAAACTAGCAACACGTGTATGCGCTTTACATTTGAAAATTCTTAAAGCCATTCTTTTTTAACGAAGTTGCGGAGCTGATTTTCTGACCTTAATTATATACGTTGTTCAGTCGACTAGGAGCGAGTCACCTAGGAAATCTGCTGCGGATACGAGTTCGACCAAACATGAGTTTGTCTTCCTCGAAGTTTTATGAACCGACGACCGCGTCGCACCTCCTCCCTGGCAGATTGGGATTGGGTCGACACCAAAGGAGACTCGTACAACATAATTACTTTCTCTTAAGTACCATGTACGTTTGTTAGTTGGTCTTGCCTGAAGTGCAGATGAACTGGCAATCAGAAAATTTTTTCACAAAAAAATATGAGGCATAAACCTCCAGCCCTTTTTCCCTGCTGCATGGGTGAAAATTCCTGAAAGAACATCAAAGCTGCTAAAAGATTTGTGTCTTCATTGCAAACAGTGGGATCGAAGGTTCTGTTTGACAAATTAAATTTATGTTTCATTTATCCATCTACATAGGATTAGAATAAAAACTTCGACCAAACTAGCGAGAAGCTTCAGAATCTGAATTTTATTAAATTCTAGCACGCGCCGTCATGTTTATGGAACGTTGACTGTTTCTAACGTTATACTCTTCATGTTTTGAAATGGTCATTCCTTTATCAGTGTTTGTTGATTTATATGTTAGATCATCTGTTCGTTTGTGAAAATGTTTTATAGCATTTGGTGAGATAGTCTCTCTCTACTACCTGTTATCCGATTTTTCCTCGTTTTGGGTGCACCATGAACGCAAGTCTAAGTTCGTCCAAAATTCTTTGCCCTCTGATTAAATCAAACAATTGATACAGAATTTCATCTGCAATTGAATAAACTTTGACACCCGGTCAAGTGACCGTGCGCTGGCTTTCGACCACGAGCAAGTTTGACAACGGCTTCATACTTCAAATACAGAGAATTACTAAATGATGTATAACATGATGGGCTGAATCATGCAGTTGATGCAGCTGACCATTGTCCAGTTTTAAAGATTCAATACGGCGATCATAAGATCAAGCGCTGACACCATCCAATGGTCTGCATCCAAATGGTTACACCAGAATGACACAGACCTATTTGTAGATTGTAGGATGGCAACGCCTCTGTGCTCTGTCGTTATAACAGAGAGTGTACTATGACATGTCCCCGCTAACAGCGAATAACATGAAATATTCATGGTTTCCACCGCTTAGGCATGAGTCTCATCTCTGAATATCTAAATGGTAATTTATCCAGGCACCACACATCTTTTGATCAAGAATAAGCGCGACAACGTATTGAAATCGTATATTTCGTTTTATAAAAGATTACCTTCCTGCGGACAACACAAAAACGCTTCCTCATTTAGGAGCGAGGGCATACACTTGTAGCCGTCGATGCACTTGTCATTGAAGATACTACAGGATAGAGGCAAATCGGTGTTCGTGTAGTACAATGGGTTGCCGTAATGGCAGTGTGTTTTAGCTAAATATTTTCATGATAATCATTAACATAGCGAACGTATGAAACCTACCGGATATGGCTTTCGCTTCTCTGCTTTGGGAAGGACAGCAGAAGAATTTTGACCTGAGATCACTGAACGTACACTCATGATTTTTGGGGCAAGCGTTAAAAGGACGATTGCATTCCTGAGGCTTGTCGGTCGTCAAATCGATGAACGGCTTTTTGTCAGCGGGGCAGATTCCTGCAAACTCAACAGAGAATAAACCCAAGAACATAATCGTAATTAATTTTTTAGTAATAACTCCTCCCAACAAAACATCAGTCTGACAACAATCAAATTTTATTCAGGTAAAGTGAGTCGACCCTACCAAAAACCTTGGGCATGTGCCATTGAAGGAGCGAAGCGCGTCAGAATTTGCATTCATCCATTCATCGAGGCATAACCGCTCTGTGTTTTTTATAAATGTCGAAATGTCATAACTTACCGTTGTAATCAGCGGCGTGTCGCCGCCTACAACACACATGCTTCTCAACGTTGATAGCCTTTTCACAGAAGTGGCCGATCGGACAGCTGGCGACGGCGCCTGGCTCACACTCCTGGTCAATCAGTTCAGAGGGTACCTCGCTGTTAGGAGAGAAGCACAATGGAACGGTGGTTTTGGAGGCCTTCAGCGACAGTTGTGCTGCCATACCCACGCTCGCCATTGCCACCGCTGGGACATCAAAGCCGGAACAGAACTCTTCGCACTCTTTGATGCTTTCGAAGTTGTTGCCATTGCCGTCACAGCCGAAGAACGGAAATGGGCGGCAACGCTGGCTCGGAAAGTCAAAATAATAGCGCACTATTGGACGGACGTTTCGTTCCGGGGGACAGTAGGCGCCTTCGTGCACTTGCTGCTTACAAATGAATTCTGAAACAATCGTTGATGAAAAAACCGCAAAACCAAGGCAAGTACACTAACCTCGTTTGGGACAACAAGCAGATGCCTTCATCGAGCCGCTGCTTACTGAAACGCATTCGTGGCTGGCCGGACAGACGTTTCTCGTAAAGTCACACCGGATCATCCGGCTGTCGCGTTGGGCGGGCTCTCCACGTGGACAGAGCTCTGCAAAAAAATCGCCTTAGATTTTTAGAACAGTCGTCTCTGATTGCCTATTGCTA